TTTTATATTATTGTTATTCAGTTTTGATATATTTTTATATAGAAGATAGAACTGATTAATACAATCCAATTTTTTGTATCTTGCTTTATAAATATTAAATATTACCTAACCATAGTAGAATTATTGAAATGTTGACGGTATCATATAACTATCATTGATCATTATAGGTAGGTACATAATATAAAATCGATTTTCGCCCAAACTATAATAATAAGCATCTACTGCAGTTGAACGTTTCAAAAGTCCCATATCAGTATATCACCCTCTAAGCAAGGCTTTGGTATTAACCAATATTAACCCGAATAATACCGGTTATTAACACCCAGCTTTAATTTTGTATGCTGGTGTTTGAACACCCGAATACATGTATCACCCAAAACCCGAAACCCGAATAAATCATTCAGGTACAAAGCCCCTGCCTAAGGAAATCCAAAATAATGTGAAATCTGGTTTTTCAATTGATAATCTATATGATACTAACAGTTAGAAAAAAAAATGAAAAACAAAACAAATACATTTTGTTAATTTCTTGGTAATTTTTTTATCTTATGATTTCAAACTAGTTTTAAAAGAAATTGACTCAAGGTATATGTTAAGTTCAAGTGAGTATTGTCTATTGATTAAGTGAATAACTTAAACTGCAGCAATGACCATTATGACATTATAATACAGTCAAATGACAAAGAAAAATACTTAGTTACCTAATACAATAATGAGATAATGTTTGAAAATGTTTAAATGCACAAATTTTCTGATATTTACATTTTTGATTATCAGTTACCACCTACTCGCATCCACTCAAGACCCACCAGTCGCCACTCCGACAGCTAATTTGTTAATAATTGCAATACCAACAACAAGATAACTTTTTTTTTCACGTTTTGTACATACAATTCATTTAATTTTGATACTATAATATGCTCGTTTTTTCGGATATTGTTTCGATTTTATATGCTGAAGCCAACAGAGATTTTTTTAATCACAGGTACAATAGATAGGTAATACCTACATATTATTATCTAGTATCTACATCGTGATCACAGGCCAGGCCTTTCGGTAAGGGTTTGCTGTCGTTTGTCAGGTCGTGTTGATTCGTAAAATTTTGAACTAAGGTGGCCTTGACGGTTTTAGTCAACGGGTTCGGAAAAGGTAACGGCAGAACCATCTAGTACGTGCTACATTTACAGAATCGTGAAAAATCTTTTGCGCGGAAAATTCTGTTTGTCACTAGATAGCGCTGCCGTATATGATATTAATTATTTTTATTTAATATTTTAATAATATGTTTGATTTTCGACCAATCGACGTGGCTTACGACCACATCGATGACATATTTTTTTCACTGTATTTTTAATTACATTAGTAGGTATAGCTGTACATTGGTCTTTATTATATCTGTTTTACTTTTGGAGCCTTTAAAAATCATCATTGAGAGGCTTTTCTGGTAGCGAATCGGTTGTACTTGGTACTGAGGGAGGTTAGAAGTTCGGAATCCCCCGTAAGTACTTTTTAAAACAATCGGGAAAAATAAAGTATTAATCGCAGCCACGAATTTGCTTTGTAGGGCTTATAATATTATTTGTTGTATTGGTTACGTCTTGTGTAATACGCGTCCACAGACCACTGAAAACATTGCTTTTAATATTCCTGAAATTTCGGAAGAAATGCAGCCCTCTCAGTCCCCTAACCACGACTACGTCAACTGAGTTAATCGATTCGTTTTCACGCATTTTTGATTTTCAGCGCAAGTCGGAGATCGTCGCCACTTTCGCTTTATGCAGTTTCGCCAATCCCGGATCGATTGGCACGATGATTGCCACGATGACGACTTTGTGCCCGACACAGCGATCGGCAATAACCAAAAATGTCTTTAGGGCATTTCTTGGTGGCACAGTCACTTGTTTTTTAACGGCAGCGATTGCTAGTGAGTATAATTATATAATATTAGGTACATACGGTGACGGTGTGCCATTTGGGCTAAACGAATAAAAAATGATATTCGTTTGTTTTACTCTCCCCCGGTCCCCCTACAATACTACACCATGGGCCGTATAAAATATTTCTCCCCAATACCATTCACTTATATTTAAATACTATAGCAAAACTTTCAAATAAAATTAAATACCTAATATATGTACATTGGGGGGACGATAATTATTTTCAATCATGCCACGGCGTGGTGTAGAGGCAATAACCAACAAAACAAATACCAAAAACGTCATTTTGTATTTTCCAGGTTTACTTATGCCCGAAGAAGGATTATAAGACTAAAAGTAATAATTTATCATTGTAATTTTTGTACGTACATTTTTTTTATATAAGTTCGTGTGATGTTTTATATTATAATACCTAAATAATAGTATGCATATATTTATCTTTCTCGTATATGATATATTTTATAATTGTTATGAAAATTGTATCGACGTAAGTCTCATTATATTTTGTTAAGCACGACTATTTTATATTGTTAAATACATTATGATAAAATATAGGTACGTTATTGATAATATTATTTGAGTAAATATATACGCAATGTTAATAACAATTACAGATTTATATATATTTTTTTGATCAAAATCGATGGCATGAATATATAATATATTATAATATTAGCTGTCTTGCCTGGTGTTTCCCGTACCAATGATTTGATTTTTATAAATATACATATTTGTAAAATAATGTAAATACGTACCTTATTTCTACTTATTTTAATACTAATATAATATGTAACCAATGGAAGCCATTTAAATAAACAAAAAAATATTTTTTTATCGTGGACTGAAAAAAATTTCATCCGATAGCTACCGAAAGTAGTTGAAAAAATAAGTTATAAACATCCTCCAAGTCTCAAGAAAACTATTGATATAACTTTTATTTAAAACGGTCCAGTAGTTTTTAAGTCTATTAACTTCGGATGAACCAATTTAAAATTTCCATTTTAGGCTATATAACCAGATTTTATTCGTAAAAAAATATAAAATACTACCTAGCTAAATAGCCTATGTGCAGTTTATTTTTTTGACAAATCCTGTATAGTATATTAAACTCTGTAAAGTTGTATCTTGGTGTGAGTGTATCTCAGTTTTAGTGTACGGCAGTATAGTTATACCTCAGTTCACGGACAAATCGGCGTCATCGTACCTATACTTGTGAAATAATTATTCAACTGCTAGTCAAGGATTGGATTTACCACTTGGTACATATATATATCTATATTAACATGGTTTAAACTACTATTACTCTCTAAACTTTTCTGACATTTCTAAAAACAATTTCTGATATTTTTTTCAAATTCAATTCATTTTCTAGTATATAAGCTACATACACATATCTTCTTTTAAGATATAGTTTCTTTTTTCGAGGCCATAAGCATGATAATTTGATGCATATGCTTGTATCTGATCTGCCTGAGTAACCAATGGTAACCATTTATAAGCAAAAAAATGTACACCGTAAATCTCAAGATCTATGTTTGACCGCCTCTTTAAAATGCGTGTATCTGAAAATCATTTCTTACTACACATCTAGAGCATTAGAGAAACCACTATTCCAAATTTAAGGTAGGTACGTTTTGTAGTTTTTGAAATGTAGTGATGAGTGAGTGGTATTTGAATTTTGTATAACATATTGACAACGAAAATGCGCAGTATAGGCGCATCTTGGTTTTAGCTTGTACCTCAGCTCAGATATTATAATAGCTCTTAGACCATAGTATATTTACATTTTATGAACGCAGTTTAAACTACTGTCTAAACTTTTCTGATACCTCTAAGAACAATTTCAAATTTTCACAGAATCGGCCCAGTACTTCTTGAGTATATACGTTACAAACATACATCCAATTCTCATATTTCTTTTAATATTGTAAGCTCCCCAGATGGAGTTGCGTGTGGCTGTCGCTGTCTGGAGAAGCTTGCATAAATCAGTTAAAAATTCGCATAGCTAGTGAAGCGAGTGGTGGCCAGCTGAGCTGTATCGCAAGGCCAACCCGGCGCTTGAATGTTTAAAAGTGATTTATATTGGATTTATTTGGATATTTATTGTTGTTTAAATCAGTTGTTTGTTATTTCTATTTAGTCGTTGCTCCTACCTAGCAGGAGAAGTTAACATAATATATGGGTAATTTTCCTTTATTTAAGACCATCAATGCCACAATTTGATGAATGCTTTCAAGTCATCTGAAAAATGCAACCATTTATAAACAAAAATAATGCACTCGTGCAGACGCGCGTCATAGAATCCAAGGATGGAGGTGTGACGGTGGCGGGGACGGCGGCGTTGTGTATAAAAAGTATTTATAAAATATATATACTAAACATATGGTTTTTACACACACACACACACCATTACACCAATCACGGGCTCACGTGGTACACAACCCATGCAATACACTCACCCGTCTTCTATCGACGACGATGGCAAAGACGACGAGGACTAGGGCGACGACGTGAAACGCCCGAACGAAGTTAAGTGCCAGAACAATGCACATAATCGCCAAAGCTACACGGACAGCGGCACAATCACCACTACCACAAAACATTCGTGGTTGTGTTTTTTTTTCGCATTTTTCAGTTACGTTTCTATCACGTTTTTGTTTACTTAGCTTCGTTCACCCCGAGCACTAAGTGCCCTCGAGACTCCGCAGCACGAATTTTTCGCAAGCAATAAACTGACGATCTTTCGCGGAACACCATTCTCTATCATTCACTCTCTGTATCTCTCCCTCCCACACTCTCTCTCTCTCTCTCTCTCTCTCTCTCTCTCTCTCTCTCTCTCACTCTCTCTCTCTCTCTCTCTCTCTCTCTCTCTCTCTCACACCATCACTATTTCTTCTTCCATCTCACCATCTCACCCACACACGATGTGCAAATTTATGTTGGAGTAGAATATTTTAGTGATATTTCAATATAATATTTTTTATCGTCCGACGACGTATTAATATTATAACCTGCACCGCCGACGTATAGCACGTGGAAGACGATAGTCACACACCCACCACCATGATGAAGGTGACTCCACAGTTACTGGTAACCATGGTCTTGCTATGGGTGGTTACAGTCGCCGTGCAGTCCCGGCCTGCCACCGACTCCGAGGAACCGGAAATAGAAGAGTCTGCGGAATCGTCACTCGATCCCTCGGTCGCTGAGGGTCCCGATACGCCAGCTCACGATCCGACTTCAGCGTTCGCCCGTATTCTAAACAATCAGCTGCTTAAAATGTCCGAACAAGATACTACAAGCCAGTAGAAACTAGACTGACTGGAACCATAACAGAAGACGGCCCCAACTATGATCAGGAAATGATGATGGGGGACATGCCGTCGGCAGACGATCCACAGGACTCATCGTTACCAGCCACTACGTTTGTGCTAGCCACAGTGATACCGAACAATTACAGCGACGAAATGTCGCACAATGATAAGTAATATTATAAAGCATCTATTTCGGTGTAATTACGTATATATAAATTATATAAGACAGGTTGCACGGGGGGCAGTTTTAATACCCGTGGTTACCGCACGTGGTTCACAATCCGAGGTACCTATTTATTACCTACCTTATTTTTTATACATGATATATGGGTCATACGCAGTTACCTTTATGGTTATTGCAAAGCGGTTGAGTCAAGATTTATATTTCCTACATACCGTATATATTATATAGTTACCCACAGGCCGTATAGTGTTCTATGCATGCATTGGTGCAAGGGAGTGCATTGTTCCGGGGCTCAGATACTTGAGGTTTTTTTAAGGTTCAGGTATCAGGTTTAAATATTTTTTAGTCAGTAATCAACGATCGATATAATATTGTATTTTTTTATAAGTTGACTTCAAATTTCAATATTTTGGAAGTCTCACATCAACCCCCAGACCTATATAGATAGGTATAGCTCAATCAATTTGATTTCGTTAAACACCTTCCGTGATTGTCCGACCGTTTCGTATTCTCTGAAAAGAAAATTATCGTTTATGATTTAAGATTTACTATTGTCACGACCCATATTCCACGCGTGTACCCACGTTTGTGTCGTTCAGTTTTATTATTATAGTAATTATATTTATTGATGTATTATCGGTATCAGGTGTTTTGTAACTATAATTTTGACAAAATCAAACTTCATATAAGGTGATTGGCTACGCTTCTTAAAATATTGTGTTATTTTACGTCAGGTGAATTTTGCCTGTATGTGTACTTTTGAAATTTTTTGAATTTTCTTATATACGTCATAATTTTGCAGATATTCTGGGTAATTCTGTGAACTTATTTTCGATTTTCGCTGACAATTTTTTTAAGCAAATTAATTTGCAAAAATTAAAAACCACTAACTTAATTTTTTAGGATTTCATAATTTTAAATAAATTGATTTTTTTAGACAAATTTTCGTTTTTTTGCAGACTATTGATACATTTGTTCACAATTAAAAAAAATCATTTACATGCATCCGTTTCAAAAAACTTTGTCGAGGCGTGTAATTTACACGATTTAGTTTTCGTTTTGCCACAAACACGCAGAGTTTGATCATACGTGGGCCCATAATATATGTGTACTTCGGACACACTAAATTTAGAGCGACACCACTCCGAGCGTGGTCAGACAAACTCGTGAAAAAACATGAGCTTAATTCGATAGAAGTAATAAAAAAAAAAGTTTGAAATGGAAATGCGCATAATATATAATATATAGGTACTTGAATATATAATATATACGTTGGACAGTCACCAAAACTGATTCATGGTTATGTACTTATATCAATCCCAGGCAAACAACATCACAATAATTCTTTTGAAATAACATAATTTTACTAAGAACATATTGTAATTATTTTGAATTATTTTAAATTCGAAAAAAAGCTACTATAGAATATCATATTTTCAGTTTCTAAAAATAAAATAAAATTTAATGCATTTTTTTTAATGTGCACTAAAATAGAAAACTGCAACTGTTAAGCTTTATATAAATAGCTTTATAGAAATATGAAATATAGAATTAATGTGTAAAACAGAAATTTTAATTTTAATTTGTATAGAAATTTGAAATGTTAACCCTATTAGGTATCTTTGTTTCATAAATATGCTCAAAAATAAATCTAGCCATTTATATATTTACACAATAATGTCGTACCTATACATTATTATCATTATTAAACATACCTACAGAACATATTATGGAAGGCAATTCAATAATAACTGTTTAAAAAAAAATGAAAGTGTTCAGTGTTTACCAGTAATCATATAATATTCTGTACAATTAAATTTGAATCAAACATTTTAAAGATAACTAAAATAAATGTAGTTAAAGATAGTTTATAAAAAAAATTACAAATACCTAAATTAATATAATTTAAAAACATTATTCGTGGGTACTTGAAACTTTTAAAGTATATTAATTATTATTATAATATTTCGTATACTATGTCTATTACATATACAATTATTGTAAATTGATGGATTGAAGTTGTTCAACGAAAATCCGTCCTAAGTGAATTTTATTTTTATTTTTAAATGAGACCCCGACGCTCTCTAAATTACAAAATGTTGTTTACAATGTACATCTCACAGGTAATGCTTGACGATTACCCGTGCATACGATTTAATGTAGGTACTATAGTATACTACAATGATATTTGTTTATTCGCAGCCCATATCCCAAGGTCAGGTATGTTGATTCGATTATGCTATAACTTTCGTTGATGTTGTTAATGTTGCTGTTGTTTCATCGATAGCACAAATCCAAACACTGTTTAATACGTGTTTTGCTTTGTTGTTTTAGAGACAGGCGAGAAAGACTTGAATATATTCAACGTCAGATGATGATAAACTTAAAGGGGATGATACCAATACTCCCGCCGATCCCAGTGACAAAAACGGTTTATCCCACTTGTAAGTTAAATTTGTCTGTACAATTTGTAATTTAGTAATTAGTAGTACCACAAACCATCACAGTATAACGTGTGATATAATATTTTGTGATTTTAATTACTCACAGGTGACTTGCCTAAGCACACAAATGAGGATGTCTGGAACACAAGGGTATCGATGAATTTAATGTTTAATATTAGTTTACCCAAGTCGTCCAAGGGTATCACAGTAAACGTAAATACGGCTAGACTCAGGCTGTACAAACAATTTTTATCTTGTTATTCGCAATCGAGTAATGAGGTATGTACAGATAAATCTGATTATTATTATTTAAAAACTCGGTGTGTAATTATTAGTTTGTTTAATGTATTAATCAATAGACCGATGATTCTCAATCATGTCAGCCAGCATTATTTGTAGAATCTAAGACCAAGACTAATTTGTCTACACCCGGTGTAGTACCGATAAAAATGGACAAGAGACAGATTCGTGTATCAATTTACATGTACACCAAATCACTTCGTAAGAGAGGTAAAGCATTTTAATGAGTTTTTTTATTTATTTTTAAACTAAAGAAATTCACTACCTATTTTTTTTACAGTAAGACGTACCAAGCTATTGGACAGCCACATGGTGCCATATTACAGCGAGGAATGGACAGAATGGAATATTCGCAACGCAGTAGAATTTTGGCACGAGAACCCAGCTCGTAATTACGGAATCGGAGTTGAAGTTGAAGATGAAGATGGCAACTTGCTTCCAGTCGCCAAATTTTTCAGAGCCATGAATTGCTCGGGAGACGCACAAATGAGTAATAATTTATTAGTTTTTTTTAAATTTAAAATTTAAAAATGATTTTTTTGTTAAAAATGTATAAAATGTTAAACTTTTATAGCTAAGAATTGAAAATTGAAAACAAGGTACCACGTAAATAGGAAAATAAATTACTTTGTTCACAATAATACCATTAAATATATACTGCTGACTGGCCGTCTCTGCTCAAAATCGTTTTTCGTATAAAAAGATATTATATCATTGAATTCAAATTTAACATCATCCATTACAGTGACACACTTGTAACGTACTGTACAGCAGAGCGACACCCACTTGATCACCTTATTTAGGTTTAATTATGTATTTTTGTATTGTTTTATAAAAGTGTATCGCCAATGTACGTCATGATAAATTGCCATACATCAAATCGTTGTATATAATATATAAAATAATAGCAAAAATCGACTAAGAAAACGAATCATTGGGTTGGTCAAAACCCTTCGTCTCGAACAAAGCTTTAATATTAATATGATACTCGAGTGCAAACCGATCGCATCTCATCTATATGTATAGTTTATATTATAATAATATGATTGTTTTCCGAAATGTTACAGTGACCTCGAAGCCGGCGCAAGGGTTCCTGATGGAGGCTGCGCAAAACGGTTACAGCAACCCGACCACCACGACCAACAACAGTAACACAAACACGGTCGACGCGATCGCGTTCAGATTCAACATGCACCGGTATCCGATAATGGACGTTACCACGGTGTCAGAGGCGAACAACGCCATGCTTTACCAGTACGATAAACATGCGTTCGAACAGGTGGGTGGCAGAGGCACGTTTTCGTCGCTCAACTTGTCACCGCGGCAGGAAGGCCAGGTCACTGAGTTACAACACCGGATCCTCGATGGTAGCCTGCAACACCGGAACAACGGCACTTTAACCGGAAGTCTGTCCGTAGACGGACACGAGCACGAGCAGAGTTTAAAAGTTTAAAAACTCTGCAAAAATAAATTTTTTATTTGATATGTTTTTAACGTTAAAGAAAATGATTTAGAAATTAACTTTTATAGATGCGATTACTTTTTGAGTTATGCGTTCACTATCCTAAATAATCAAACTATCTAACTCATCAAACTAATTTATCTGTTGTTAATTTTGTTTTTGCTAATCCTGTTGTCTACTTAAAATGTTTTTCTTATAACAAATCAATTGTATAAATTAACAAATATAATACACTTTGGTAAGTATTCACCGAAAAACATCAAGAGTGAAACATTATAATATTCAAATATAAAATAAAACTGAATGACTGCCTCGAAAAACAAAAAAGGTGTTAGGGCTTAAACGTATAATAAATTCCTTAACTTAAATTAAGCTGGTAAAAATACTGAATTGGCGCCTTATTTACTTGTTTACTAATTTATTAACAACGATTACAATTTAAATGGCTTATATTAGTTTTAAAAATAAACATGTACATTAATTTTAAAAAAATGTATATCTTATTAGAAATATTTGATTTGTAATCTATTTTTTTGTCACGCCTGCACCGAAAGTTTAGTTTTCGATGACGGTTGAAACGTTGGACCTTCTTCCGTAAATTAGGATCCCCGTAGTGCCGGGCGGTAAATTGGAAATCCCCAAAAGTACCGATAGGTAAAGTAACTGATTTTAAACTTTTATTTACACGAATCCATTTACAGTGTAAACCTTACACCATTATACGATACGTCATTATTGATAATTATAAGGGAATAACAATAACAAATGTTAAGGTATACTTATATTATAATATATACTATGTCTTGGAAAAAATTAATTCAACCTAATGTAGGTATAATAACTAATAAGATTCTTGAGAAATAAATTATTCATTATAATACATACTATATTAATTCATAGGCGATGCACGGATGCGGCGCGAATTGTGCTTTTTAGAATATTATGTACCAGGTACCTATACTTAAAATATTATTAAAAATGGTAATAATCGTTGAATTTAACGATTCGTATTTATAAAGGTATATATTATTATTCTACAATCAATGAGTGGGGTAAAACGAAGACAGTGTTTGGATTTCGAGCTCGCCTATTTTATACATTCCGCTTTTGAGAGTAAAAATATATGAATCTACGTCAGTCAATTAGCAGATTGTCCAGGGCAATCAATCTGTATTATAATACTAAAAATTTAATTTAATCCCCAAAATAATATGAACAAACACTTACGTGTAAACATCGACACTTCCGTCGAACACTAGCTGTGTAGGTGTCGCGTGTGCAATATATAGATCCCATACTTGTGTACACCAACAAACAGCTTCCGTCTTCATGTCGTTCCGAACTGAACTTGAAAGTATCGAAATATTTTATGAAAAGACCTGAACGTATAACAAAATATGGGAAATGTTGCATTACATACAGCTTAACGACCTGTCCATCTAATGATGGAGTATTTTTTTTTGTTCATTGCAATTGGCGATTTTCGTAGATGACAGATATTATAATATGATAAATCCATAGACCTTATACTCTATGTTTGTAATATGTTTTTCCTTTTTATAGCTTCATCGTATTTAGTAAATAATAATAGCTAGAGAGCCTATATAATAAAGGGGATATAAAGACTCTCTAATAATAGGTAGGTAAATTAGGTAAATTTCGTTTTCGAATAATAATAATGATTTGAATTAGATATACCTACAACAAAATAGGGGACTAAAATCTTTATTTTTCGTTCAAATATCCATTTTGTCAATATTTTAATTTGGTATATGTACTGTGTAGAGTGTAGACATAACAAAAGTTGTGCAAAGGTATTTTTAGTATATTTAAGCTTTTGTAAGATCAATATTTATGAGAATCCTTATACAATTAGTATTAAATCCGTATTAATTATCACTTATCCGTATAAATTGTTAGAAGTTTTTTTTTCAGAAATAAAATTTATAGTATAAGATAGGTACATTTATCGAAAAAAAAACTATTTTCAATGAATTTTAATAGTTAAAGCTGTTAAAATATCCATTTGGATTCTATTTTTTTATGCAGTATAAAAAAATAGCTGGGGGTAAAAATAACAATATGTACAGGCGTACAGTACATTTTGTAAAGGATACAGTAGGAGCGGATCGAGCGGGTTTGGGTTGATAGGTACAATATTAAATAAAATGGGTGGGTAGTAAGTTCAAACCTTCGATCCTTAAGTAAAAATAGTTCAACACGCCACTGGTAGAGGGAAAGCATTTGGTATAGAGAATAATGTACATATAAGTAAAATATTAATAAAAATAATAATAATTGTTGAATTCCATCGGTCATAAAAGCGTTAGTTTGTTGTATGTGTACCTAACAGAGTACCTAATACTATATTTTATAAAGGTAAATAATATAAATGTATTATTATTCCGCTCTACTCCACCACAAGCCAAGGTTTACACGAGTAGATATATTCTTTAAATCTGTCTATATTTACACTATGTATTTGTAACTTGTTAAGAAATTTATTAAATAAAAAAAATTCCACGACCTAGGAGTGGTAAAAAGATGATGGCGTTTAGATTTTTAGCTGGGCTTGCATATTTTATACATTGCGGTTTTGGGAATAAAAATATATACATCTACTTCATCCAATTAGCAAATTTATCGTGGCAAACAGTATTTATTTTAATATTAAAAAGTAAATGTAAGTGCCAAAATAATATTAAAACAAACTTACAATTTATTTAAAAGGGTTTTATAGTACCTATACGGCTATACGAATGTGCAATGTAAATTGAATGAAAAATTATATAATTATCTATCAATGCGAGACTTTAGTTTTAAAATGTACACATACGGACCCATTTTTCTATTAACAGGCGATTACCGATATCGTAGGGCACTGCACCACACATTATTAGTTGCTCATAAGTCATAATTATATTAATACTATTATAATCAAATAATACTGCGCAAAACTCAATGCCGGACAATAATATAAAAATATTACTTATTAAATTCTTTAGGTTGCGGAAAAAGTATCTATACTTGCAACCACCCAGTGGAGTATTTAGGGGGGGCGACGGGGGCAATTGCCCAGGGGTGCCAAATTCTGAGTCCACAAAAGGGCGCCGTTGCTAGAGGTTATAACCTCTAAGGTTATTTTATTGGGTTTGTTGAGAAATTATATAAAGTGATAAGGATAACTGATAAATGAATAGGTACCTGTATCTTTCTTATAATATTTTTTACATTTCTATACATATTTCCATGTTATATATAATGTATTTTATTAAATTGTCGTAAAAAAAGGCTAAAATCAAAATTATAATTTGCTTATTTAATTAGGAATAAACGGAGTGTTAATGGTAAAATAAAAGTGTTCTCTAAATTAGTGGAAGCATAAATGCAATAATGGGAAAATATACATTTTGGGTTATCAATTATCACTTTTACATGGCTTGAAACCAATTGAAAAATTTCTGTTTTGGTTTCGATTTTAACACTGGTTTCCAATTTTTTTCGGTTTCGGTTTTATAACGGTTTATACCGGTTTCAAACCCTGCACTATTAACTGAGAGAAAAAGTAAATTGTAAATTAGAGTTTTTTGTGACAATGAGTAAAAGGAAACTGACAAAAAAAGGGGCTCTAAAATCGTAAATACGCCACTGTAACCACCTCTCAAATTATAACTTTATATGTTTTGTTATGCTATTATAGTTATTTTAAAAAGGATTAACAACTAAAACTTATGTTTTATCGGTCAACGTTCATTGGAGTTGAGCTTTGTATTTATCTATACATGACTGTATGAACACAATATATCTCATAGTTAGTACTATTTTTGTAGTTTAATACTCCGATGACGACTATATAATAATCCTATGTTAATACTTTTCAAAAATAATGCGTTAGTGTTTTTTTTTTTATTTGGCATTATACATTTTATCATTACCGATAGCATAGTATTTAGAGTGTTGTTGTTTGTTGGTACACAGCAATACATAATATATTATTAAATAACAACTACTAGATACTATACAACTATAAATGCAAATAAATCGTTCAAAATAAGTCATAATACAGTAATGTAGGTATACGTAATTCCCGGTTCAAACCATCGTATACCTACTTAGTTTTGACCCAGAAGAATGCCCTAAAAGGGCTAAACGTTGAGCTACGTATTTGGCTATTTGCTTATTATATATTATATGTACACCTATAATAATAAAGTACCTAATAATATTATTTGAATATAATACAAGTATTTAAGTTTCGTGTAAAAAACAGTTGAATGGTATAGTGTGTAAATAAGATTGCAGTAATAAAAATCAATGTCTATTATTACAGATAGAAAAAAAAATGGTTTCGTAATTCATTTTTATACGTATTAGTTGTTCCTAATGAATATTTCTCTGATAAAAGACCACATTGTTTTTTTTATATCAATTGCTAATTTAAAAACAAATTTAAATTAAAAACCATAGTCTATATTATAGAACATTAGAATAAAGCTATCCCTGTGCTGACTGATAATGTAAAATTTTGTTTAAATATCTATATGTAAATATTGAATTTATATGTATGTATATTGTTTATCATATATTATTGTTGTATAAGTAGTACCTACATTGTGTAAACTGTATTCATTAGTCATTGTTAAGTACCTAGTTAATAACTTATAAGATAATTATTATTTTATTAATCATTATTACTTTTACTACTTCAATTATTGTAGCTCTTCTAACTAGGTCTATAAAAAAAATATTAAATAATTTAATTGCAGAAACTTAACATTTATTCATCATAATTCTATAACTACAAGATTTTATTGTTGTAATACATAATATGTATATATATATATTTATGAAATGTCTGATAAAAATGTATGTATAAAACGTATTAAGTGGAAAGTGTTACAATAAACGTTTCTTAATTAATTAACGTTTCGATTAAACTATCACATTCATACAATATCAACTACTATAATCATGTTTGTCAATTTTTAAATTCTTTAATAGTTCTTTTTAGTCTTTTTTAACTTTGAAAAAACAATGGATACAATCAAAAATTACTTCCTCAAAGTAATAACAAAGTTCGATTTGAAAGTTCATAGGGAAAAATTAAAACATACAACTTCATTGTAAAACCAAAAATCATATATTTATAAAATTATGGCTTCCACTAAGCATTACTAAAAAATACAAAAAAACACCATAAGACCCTAATTTATACCTACTAAAGGTAAAGAGTTTGTACGTTATAAGTTATAACGCGCTAAACTCGGAAACTACTGGACCGATTGCAATAAAAGTTATATCAATAAATTTCTTGAGACTCTTTAGTGTGTTTTTAACATCTAAAACCGAGGTACACCGATATAGCATCATATAACCGATATAACGTTATGTTTGTTCATTTTTTTTCCAGTGCAAAGTCGGGTTATACAGCCACTATAATGAAAATATATAATTTAAGGTATGTATGTAATAGTACCTACATTTTTATTTTTATTTTGTATAAACATATTTAACCTAGACAATAGTGGCCATGGGGATAGTTTTACATAATATTATTATATTTGTTTGTATAATTTAATATGTAGATTACTTAAATATAAATAAATGGTTAACAATTGTGACAGTTATAAACATATAAAGAGTAAAGATCAGTAATATATTTAGTAATATTTGGTTAAGTAGATTGGAGGCAAAAATGAATTTGATGGTGACGGAGGAGTTTGTGTACTAAACATTATTTACCAACGTGTTGCTTAAAAGTATTACGATAAGAGATAGTATGAAGCACTTAAATGGTCGCAAATCGCAATATTAATTAGGTACGTGCAATAAACGATACTATATCATACGTGTTTTTAAATCAGTGTAGGTACGTTTAGTGATAATCGCATGAATTGATTCAATTAAACATCTTATTCAAAATCTGGTGAGTTTTTTTTAGAAAATATTATTTTTTCATGGGTATTCTCTATATTACTTATTCTTATTATTTAGAAATAATTAAATCGAATATATTAATTCATTATTATATCTATTACAAGATATAGGGACTAGAAACTAATTTTTTTTATTATTTTGAACTATTCGCAGACATAAATAAAATATTGAAAATAATTGCACTTCATTTCAACGAAGTTAAAAAATATAACGTACCTACATAAATAAATATCTGCAGTTTAACTTAATATATCATAATGCAAAAATCAAATATTTCTTGAATTTTTAACATTGAATTGTATGTTATTTTATATTTATGAATTAACAAAACAATTTTTTTAGATAGGTTTCATTATTTTTTAGTAATTGTATAACATTTTTTTATTATTTAAACAGCAAACCACACTATTTTGAAATTAATAAACACATATGAATTGTGAATTTTCTTATAAAAACGATAATTTATATAATATAATACTAGTAAACCAATATTATTTTATAAATAATCTAAATCTGTGTTCTAAGTTAATGAATTTACACAAGATATGACATCGATATGTACTGTGTCTCGTATGTAAGATTAAAAAAAATTAAAACAAAATTGGAAAAATAATATTGACACACTGAAATACTACATTTTAAATATCTATAAATAAATAACTTTTTATTTTAATACTCAATAAACAATACAATATGTGAATGGACATTTTCTATTCCAAAAATAAGAAATTCAAATAATTCAGTTGTTACTTAAAAATTGATATTTTCACAAAATCTAGTTTTATATATTTATTTCAAATCGTTTATTTATAAGTAATTAACAAAGTACGTTAAATTGAACACTGTAGTCTTTTACTTGAAATATTAGATCATTATGGTATGTTTAAATTAAATTAAACTAGAATTTGATTTTAGTATTTATTATTTTTAATTTGTAGAAGAAATAAACAATAAATACAATCCAATCAATATGAATGAAAATAACCATTATCAATATGGCATCAAATCGACTTTAGCTCAGGTAAGTTATTTATTATAAATAAATAGGTAAATCCAAATTTCGCACCAATTACAAATGGTGAGTGATTTGAAATGAATTATAGTCATATATCAATATAATATCATGTGTTTATTTAAGAGCGGTAATTTATACAACGAATCAATATATACATTTCTAAACAGTGTTGGGCAATATCAGGAGTATGGTTCTTGCAACTCCAACTCGGTGCACAAGTTATGATATCGACCGTAGTTATTGGGGCCATAGAGAATAATAACGCATCCAAAGACGCAAACGAATCTTTGAGTATAACAAGCGAAGAAGCCTCTTGGTTCGGTAAGTATATCAATATCAACACTCTAATAGAGCTATTAAACAAAACAACTCGGCTGTATGGACGGGATACCTACTGACTACTTTCTTTTAAATAAAAATACAATTGTGTGGTCAGTTTATAAAAAATAATTTAAATATATTTAAGACACATATTTAGTGAGATAGAATCTATAAAAAGTATAATATGTTAATAAAAAAAAAAATCAAGGTATAAAATTTTATACCAAAACTCTATGGGTATTTTTTTTTATCTTCATCTCCATTTTATTATTTTACCTCTGTGAGCCATGTGTTTTATGAGCCAGTAAGTAATTATAACAGTATTTGAATTACATTTTTATAATGGCATCAAAATAAATATTTGGAAATATATTTAAAAATTTGTTCATTCAAATATTTTTAATTGATTTATTAAAATATAATTAAAATTGTACAAGTACTCCTCACCTGTTGCCATCACCTGTTATAGTGTTATATGCATTGTTGGGTCATAAAATATTTAATGACATTTCAGCCAGTCTGTTATATTTGTTCACACCCGTGGGAAATATTCTGTCTTTGCTTTTACTGGACCGATTTGGCCACAAGAAGTGTATGATACTGACGAACATACCGAGCATAATAGCACAGATCATATTGTACTTCGCCGAAAACGTAGAAATACTGTACACCAGCTCAATCCTGATGGCATTGACTTTAGGGTTTTCGAACGCGCCGAGTCTCGCGTACGCCGGTGAAGTATGCGAACCAAAACTAAGAGGCGCTTTGACTTCGGCACTGAACGTATTTTACTACGGTGGATCCATAATTTTGACCATGGTGTACAGTATTACCATGCAATGGAGATTGACAGTGCTATTGACCACGGCTTTTCCAATTTTGACCATTGCTATATTATTAACGGTAATCTGCAGGTATGCAAACGGTATTGCCGACGGCTCAATAATAATCAACCAAAAATCATGATATGTTTCAGACACCAGATTCTCCGATGTGGTTATTGGCTAAAGGAAAACATTCAAAAGCACACCGAAACCTCAGCCGGTTGAGAGGGAAAGTTTCGTACGAAAAATGTGAAAACGAATTCCAAGAAATGGTCAGATACAACTCGCCCTCCAACAACGACGAACCGAGTAATATATCACTAAATTACCGTTACGCGGTTTATTTTGTTCTATTTTATTGTACAGCAAGCTCAACATGTCGTCACAATTTTATAGATCAAAAAGAAAATACGAATGTTTGGAAACATCTTTTTGAGCCCGAAGTCATAAGACCATTTCGTTTGATGACGATATATTTTTTTTTCATGAATTTATTGTCTGGATTACCATTATTACCATATTTAGTATCAATACTTAAAGAATTTGGAGCACCCGTGAACGTCGAATGGACAATAGTAAGTTATTTAGCCAAGTATGGGTTTTGGTTTTTTTAGTCGCCTACATCACACTTTTACTCGAAAACGTTATTTAAATATTTTGTACAGTTTTTTAACGCATTTAATTATATTTTCAGTCATTCTCGATGGCTCTTTCTATAGTAGGAAGTTTAATGGCAGTTTTTCTAATAAGGAAACTAGGCAAACGATTTCTCACTTTGTTTACGTTATCGATTTGCTCCGTTTGCTACATAGCTATTGGACTAATCGGTGTCTATTGGAAAAATGCAAAACCAACAACCTCTTGGATAGTACTAATACTTTTTCTTGCTACTATTTTAATATCATCAATTGGAATAACGCCAGTTTCGTGGACTCTTGTCACCGAAATATTTCCTGCAAAGTAAGTTAAAATTATATTGAAAAATAAACTTGTGTATTTTATTATGATATAATTGGACGGTTTTTAAGAGAAAGGGCTTAAGTCAAAAATTGATAATTTTCAGGAGAGACAAAAAACATTATAACTTTGTAAATTTTTAATGTTTTTAAATTTTTTATTTATAATTATGATTAATATATAGGTGTATATATATACTTATGTATTTTGTTATTTTACTATGAAATATATTTTAGTATTTATTTATTTTCTTCAAATGTTAATGACTTATGACCTATTGCATATATACCTGTTTGACTTGAGCCCTTTCGCATCATGACTTAAGACCTATTGTATGTAATTTTATAAGACTTATCCTCTTTGTCATTAAAATAAGTTATAATAAGTGATTTAGGCCTTTTCTCATAAAAAAAATCTGTAAAATGACTTATTACCATACGCATTCTATTTTATCTCGTAAACCAAATCCCACGTGGCATCTACAGTGGTACCATTCAAAGCGGCTTGAAATTTAACACAGAATTAATGTATAAACTGAAAATGTCCAAAAATGACTTAAGCCCTTTCTCTTAAAAACAGTCCAATTATGTCTAAAAATGTAAGAGATTTTTTAGATTGTTTTCATACATATTTAATATTTTGATTGAAAAATAATTGAAATTACTAAATAGTATATAAAAACTGTTATTGTTATTGCAAATGGGTCAACCAAATATTTTAATTCTTAAAATCTAAATATTTAGATCAACAATTGCGAACTATTCAAATAATCACATTTTGTTCGCTTGTATTGAATTTATTGACAATTATTGAAATATACTGGGTGATTCACTATGATGGTATTCAAATTCTGATTTTTCGAGGTTCTAAGTAAAATACTTTATTTTTAAATACCTGTTTATATTTAGTTTTTTATACCATTTAAGGAGTTTTTTACTGAAAAGTGTTAAGCCGATGGTTTTTTCGAACATTTGAATGTATCTTAATCAAAATTTAGTTTTTGAGTTATTACATGTTTTTTTTACCCTTAGCCATATGGGATTATGGCTTAGCATTTGTCAAGAATTAGTGGCAAAGAGCATTATTAGTTGGAATTTGGAGCCACATTAGTGACTTTGTCTAACCATTGTGCCAAACTAGGCCCCTATTAACATTTATTTAATATATACCTTCTAAAATAATAATCCTCTAAAGTTGTTTCACACAAATATAAAATAGTCAATAGATGCAATATTTATTTTAATACTTATTATACCCAGACAATTTTATAAATTGTAAAATGTTAATAGATTGTTAATATTAATTACTATAATTCTCAAATAATCAAGTATTTTAAAACATTATATTTTCAATAGATATTTAAAGGAAATACCCCATGTATTTTATTTTATAATCATTTTGTATTATATACCTACTCAAAATGATAAAAGTTTTTATTCAAAATGGTAAATACATTCGAAGTTGATTATAAATATTATATCGAATAGTTTACGTCTTTAATAATAGTTTAATATTATCAATCATGAAAATAATTTTTTGTTTTTATTTCAGGAGTAGAAATATTTTATGCAGTGTTTGCACGGGTGTCTGTTTTATTGTCACTTTTTTCATGGCAAAATATTACCCGGAGTTGTCACTATTAGTGGAATTTTATAATTTATTTACTATAGTTGGTATTGTTGGTTTATTTGGTTGTATATATTTTTATTTTTGTCTACCAGAAACCGAAAACAAAACCTTACAAGAAATCACGGAGTTTTTCAAATAGAATCAATTAATCAAATGCTCAATCGTTATAATGTGTTTTCATTATTAACAATCCTTGTGAGTTTTGGATAGCAATACTAAAAGGTAACCTAGTAAAGGTACCTACCTATTTTTCCATCAATGAGTGTTTAGCTCTTGAACTATAAAGCATAGAAGCTAGTACAACATCTTAAATTATAATTTATATCATAGAAAGACTTTTCTAACCTTCATTAGTTTGATCATATTAATGTGACAACAAAATGTTGATAACATCGAAATTAATACCAAACAAATATTTTTCTAAATATAAAACTAAGTGCATTTTTGATGTCCGGGAATATCTCGGAAACTACTGAACGATTTTTTTTTTCAATTTAAGAACACATTACAGAACTATAAGCATAGTTTTATGGACAAACTCCTGCACACGGAATATTGAATAATAAAATATTAATGTACCAGAGGTGAAAACTATCGAATAAAATTATATTAAAAAAATATGAAAAAAATATTGTAGAACATTTTCCATGGCAAAGTCGACTAATACAGCTAGATGAACTCTTGTATTAACTCAGTTATCTAATTTTAAAATAATAAATATGAAAATCTATAAAAAAAAAAAATTAACGATTTGTCAGTGAACTAAGCTAGGTACACTAAAACCGAGATACAACAATATAATCCCTGGTGAAGTATAATAACTGTACAGCTGATAGTAACGTTAATGTTTATTTTTTGATTGTATACGATTATTATTTTTTAACATTGTTTATATCTAATATGTAAATGTATAAATGTATTTATTTGTACATATTATAATTTTTACCTAATATATTTTATATTTGTTTTTGTAAATCATTTTGTTTTTTTTTTTTAAGAAATGTAAATTAGTTCGTTATACATTTATGATGATAGTTAATTTGTTTTCGAAATCTATTAAAATTGAAATTATCGGCTATGTACATTGCACATAAGCATGAGCACGGTGGAAGCAGGGGAGATAGGTAATAGGATATGCTGTAAGGTTTAAGCTCCTACGAGATCTCCCGTCAATAGTACTTAGGTAAATCTCAAAGTAGTAAATATTACAATATTGTATCGTATTTATCAGGTATCGTATATTAATATATTATTATACATATCTACGTATATATTTAAATGATAACTGATAAGACAGCTTCAACTGTGGTTACTACTTACTTATTTGTTCTGTGACAAATGACAATATATCGACTTCTCGTACGGTAGCTAACCTAGGGTGACCATATTTAAAAAAGTAAAATACAGGACAAAAATATTATCATATTGTTATATTTTAATACCTAATTTAATATATTATACTATTTTTAAATTAATAAGTATTTATTATATTTTTTTGTTGTCCAATAAGATAACATTTGTGAACGACATAGATATACTATTATTTATTAGGCTATTATTAATATTTATTTATTTCGCAATATGCTCACATTTGATCACGAACTGGTCTGGCAGCAGGGGTTAGCAGTAGGGGCCATTAATAATTATTTATTATAATATTTGCCATGATATTTGTGTTGAGGTCTTACGATTATATATATATTTATACACCCACTCAGACATGAAGCAATTGCTTCAAATAATCCTATATCCCGCCGCCACTGTACCTTAGATATATCTTAGTCCGTGGTCTAAACTATGAAGCGCTTGAAGTTTGCAGATTAATTACGTGCATAAAACCAAATACCATTACGAATTTTTAAATCAGTGCAAATTATAAATTATAAACTGATTCAAATGAACATGCCATAATTACGATTTTGAAAGTTTATTTTACACAATATAATTTTCCGTTAAAAAATATATTTCAAGTATCAATAAATTATATTTTCAGTTCGTGTCCCACTATCGTATTAGCAACACTTATGTTCCCGTTTATCCGTTATCGCATTTTATAGCTGTTGATAGCAAGTTACAATATAACAACAAGGCCATCGCACAGTACAGGTAATATGCAATAGATATCTTATTTATACATATATCCAATTAAAATTAAAAATCAAACTAAATTGCCTTCGACATTCGGCGTTAAAACGTCCAAATCAAATCAAAAAAAATTATCTATTCAAAATCAAAACCAAAACTACCATCTTCCACACTAAACCAACCAACAAAGAATAGTATTTCAGACACTCCAACAATTAAAGATAACAATTTGCATCAACAAAATATTTCAATTCAAAAAAAATCTTTCGCAGTCATTAAATCCCAACCTGTTCACAAAAAAATATCAAGCTGTTATATTCAACATAGAAAACGAAGAAATACAACTAAAAGAATACATTATAGAAATAGGAAAAATAATTAGGCCAGAAAACATTATATTTGTGTCTAAAATATAAAAAACGCGCGTGTACACACATAGAAATTTAGGAGTTATAATCACCGATATTACAGTGTCAGCGGACTGATAGTTGAAGTTAGTGGCCAATAGGAGTTAAAAATAACTGTCTACAATTGTTAATCCAAAAACATTTATGGTGATAATAATCAGAATTCATAATAAATATTGAGAAGAAGTGATATTGATATTTGTTTATGTCATTCAAACATTAATAGGTGTCATGTTAACAATAACCTTCTAAATGATTCATATTACTTTAATATAATTTATACTAAATAGGTTGTAATGATTAAATCGTAAGTCTGAGTGAACATGTAACGGTATTATTTTAACCGCATCAAACTATTACGGTAAAGCTTAACATAGTTTAAATAGCTATAATGAAACTGAATTACATATTCTACAATTTTTATCTAAAATGTTTTATTGTACGACCAATAAAAAGGGATATATTTAAAAAAAAACCATTTTCGTGACCTTTGATCTTGAACAACCTTAACGCATACATGATATCGAAGCCGACTTTTTACAAGTTGTTTATAAGTTATAACGATGTCACGAAAGTATGTACCAAAATTCAACTAGGTGGGAATTTTTTAGAGCTAAAAACATGACAGGCCTAGTTATCGACTATCGCAAAAAACAGTGTGATATCACAACAAAAACACTTCATCAAACTCCGTGTAAAAAACGGCCAAGTAAAAAAAAAAACAACAGATCTTCATGGGCAATAAATAAGTGATATCATAAATAAATGCTAAGTAAATTGAATTAAAGTACAATTATTTTGTTTCGATAATTTATTTACTTGGTAAGAAATTGTATGGATACTTTATATGACACAACACATGAAATAATGTGAACAAAATAAACAAAAGACATTAGAAGTTCGCTATAATTTAAAAGATTATAATGGACATTTCACTCAAAATAATTTCTCGCCAAGAAAATAAATTATTGATAAATTATTATGATTAAGTGTTTTTGTTGTGTTATATGGCATCTTCAAGGGGAGTTTAATTTAATTTAATTTCAAATGTTATTGAATGTACAATATTGAATTTATTAAAAAAGACAAACTTGTTTTGTTGAACAACCACAATTTTTTTTCCGACCAACGCCTGGTAATTCAGCTATACTCTGTTCGCCGTAAGTTGCCCCACTTTTTTTTTTGTGCACTCAGAGTATATTGAAAAAGTCGTGACAATACAGTTCAATGTAGTTTTTCAGTTTCACATCACGATACACCACGATGTATAAATAATGAACTGTATTGTCACAACATTTTCACCATGCTCCGAGTGCGCTAAAAAAAAAAATAGTGGGTGAACTTACGGCGAACAGAGTACCTATAGTATATATAAATATATTGAACATTTTTAAGTTTTGAACACCATTACGCCGAATATTAAATAACCAATTATTGAACAAAGTTTTAATCATGTAAAATATATAATACTAGCTGATCCCTTGCACTTCGTTGCCCATTAAAAATGCCAACTTTATAATATGAATAATTTGTTTTATTTTATAATATAACCGTTACCATAACAACAGTTTTAAACCAATTACTATTATAATAGCTTCAAAACCCATGGTAACCATGGCAACCAATTACCTTAAGGACAACCACACAGGCGGACTATCATTCTATTTCTCCTCATGTGGTTGGTTAACATGGTAATATGGACCCACACACACACACACTTACATTAATTTATATATATATTATATAGATATAAATATTAAATATAGATATATCATATATATTTTACATTTGTGTAATTGTATAACTGGAATACAAATTAATAATTTTTAAGTACGTACTGCGTGAACTTATTATGAACAATATATTTTCTGTTACCATATTTGTATTATTTTAATAATACAATCTATGTAGTACATAGGTTGGTATTATAATAATACACCGTTGAAACATAATCATCACAATTTCAATTGTGCTCAATCGTTAAACAAAAATGGTAAAGAACGTACTCGATCACGCGATAGCTGATAAAAGTTAGTATAAACTATGATTTATGAAGCGCTTAATGTTTAATTAGTACATTAAATAGAACACTATACAGTACATATTATAATATCAACATTAAGTTCAATTTAAATTAATTTCAAATTTTATCAGTATAAAACTTATTGACCACCTTTTATGGTAACAATAACGTTACTAATTTTTCATAATATATTTTGTATTATATTATTTTTTTACCGATTACTATATTCTTAAATTGTAGAAAACTAAAGGATTCCGCTCTACAATATGGAAGAAAGAAATAATTATGATTATGGAATCAAATCGACTTTAGCTCAAGTAATTGTTTTCAATTAATTTAATTCACGCTCCTAAATTTAAAGAAAAGTAATAAACAGTTATCATGCAATAAATTGTACTTAATACTGTAATATATTTACAATTGAAATTATTCATAATTTTCAATGACAGTGCTGGGCAATATCAGGAGCGTGGTTATTGCAAATTGATCTCGGCATACAAGTCATAACCTCCACAATAGTTATAGGTGCCTTAGAAAACAACGCGTTCAAAGACAAAAACGAATTTTTGACCATAACAAGCGAAGAAGCATCTTGGTTTGGTAAGTATATAAACGGTCTGCAATCCGTTGATTAAAAATTCTGAAAGTGTAAACTATACTCACATAGTCACATACTCACATTTCACCTAATAACTGAATTATACGAAGGTAGGATGTTACATATTATATGTTATGAAATCGGTGTTAGGAAGAAACGAGTACTAAAACTTAAAAGGAACCGATTAATGGAACGAATTTATTTTTAAAGAATGGTACGTTGAACTGATTACTTTTTTTTAAAAAAAAAAACAAAATTGTCCGTCACTTTCCAGCTTTTATTTACACAGAAATTTAAATAATTAAAATTGTCTAAGTATATGTATTGTCAGTCGGTAATCGTCATCGAGTATCGAGGTTTAATCATCAAGACTTATAGTCACTATACAGAGTGATCAAGATAAGTGGAAACACTCAATAATTATATGCAGGCTTCATATATTTCAATTCTATTTTTTTGGCTAAGTAATAAACATTATTATACACAATTTAAAATAATTAGACTATTTTTATGACGGTTAATTTTGCGCGAGCCCACAATAGTTTTTTTTTTAAATGACATGACCTATTTTTGACCACAAATTATTTTTATATATATTTTTTAATGCATTTTAATGCTTGAATTTCTTTAAGTTAAAAAAATAAAGTTAAACTAAAGTTAAAAAAGGTGGGTAAGTGGATGTCGCTCTGCTGTACAGTAGGTTACAAGTGGGTCACTGTATAATGGATGCTATTAAATTTGAATTCAATGATACAATATCATTGTATTAGAAAAACGATTCTGAGCGAAGACGTTATGTCAGTCTAGGTTTAATACAAATTATATACATATCTATGGTATTAAAAAAAATTGACCTATAATAAATTCCAAATTAATCATATCACATTATCACAATATCCATAAGATACTTATAACACGTTATACATCAACATCAATAACAAACCCTGATATACTATCATAGATATATAATAGTACACTTTAGAAGTTTCAAGTAGGTGCCCACGAATAATATTATATAATCACAACAAAATAACTAGGTTTTTTAATATGTAATTTCGTCCAAATTTGAACATAAAATGACTATAAAAATAAACTGTGAATATATATTTTTTTAGATTTTTCGGTAAGAGAATTAACTACTTACGTGGAATCTTGTTTTAAATTTTCAATCCTTAGCTATAAAAATTGAACATTTTATAATTTATTAATTACGATGATTAATAATTTTCAAGATTTCGAAAAATTCTGTCAACATTCGATGTTTAAATGCTTATAAGAAAAAATTGTGCCTATGTATTTTTAATATTTTTCAACTGATATTGTAACAATATATCAGGAGCCTTGTATTACATTTTTACACTTTTTGGCATAACAGATAAAACTTTATTGATATTCATAGAAAAAAAAAACTAAAAAAAAAATTGAAAGCTGTAAATGTCCGTAAACAGCTCAAAAGAGTCAAAATATTTTCGAAATCGTATGGTGTATAGAAAATGCTATTATAAACATTCAGTGAAATTTTCATGAATCTATAGTTATTCGTTTATGAATGATAACAAAATAAGGAAATCGCTACTTGAGAAATCGAGTGAACATCCAATGTTGTAAAAATTTGAATTTCAAACGCTCATAAAAATTTAATTTGACTGTCCGGTAGAGATCTTTTTATTGATAAAGGTAGACAAACTCATAAGTAACCTTGTATTACATTTTCAAATCTTAGTTTTAAAAAGAAAAATTTTTACGAATTCTTAACTCAAAATAATTTGCTAATTTTCGTGATTTTTCCATATTTTGTCAATTTTTGAACTTTAAATGCTTATAAAAAAAACTGTAACTAACAATTTTTAATATTTTTCATCTGCCTTTGAAATAATATACTGGGAGCCTTTTATTGAATTTTCAAGTTTTCTTAACCAACAAATAAAATTTTATTGATATTTCTAAAAAAAAAATTTTAAAAAATGAAAAATGAAAATGTCCCTAAACAGTTCAAAATAAATCAAAATATTTTGAAAATGTTATTGTGTATAGAAAATGCAAATATAAACAACCAGTGAAAACTTCATGTATTTACGGTCATTTGTTTTAAAATTACACCAAAAACCAAATTCAATTTTCTGAAAAATCGATATTGCGTAAAAATTCCCGTTTTTCCTTCATTTTTCTTTTGTTTTTCTTGGCGCTTTTGAAAAGTACTGGGTATTTAAAATTTAACAATAGGACCACACATTAAAGAGTTCAAATTGAAGTATCCAGATTCTTAAATAGATAACACTATTTAAAATAATTAGTGCAGGTTATCAATGTTCACATCTTAACAAAAAATTTAACTAGAGTTAAATAACTAAAAAAAAAAACTTGAAGGGGGATGTTGGCGCCCGCAGGCAAATGCGTTTTAGAAAACAAAAAAAAAAAAAATTAGAAATTAAACAATAGGACCACACATGAAAGAGTTCAAACTAAAATGTCCAGAAACTTAACAGAAAAACTATTCAAATTGATAAGATCATTAAAGAAAGATGATTCATAGGGCCACTGCAAGTTATCAACGTTCAAGTCTAAACAAAATATTTAACTAGAGTTAAATAACTAAAAAAAAAAAATTGAAGGGGGGTGTTGGCGCCCGAAGGCAAATGCGTTTTAGAAAACAAAAAAAAAATAAAATTAGAAGAAATTAAACAATAGGACCGCACATTAAAGAATTCAAACGAAAATGTCCAGATTCTTAAACAGATAACAAAAACAAAAAAAAAATTAGAAATTAAACAATAGGACCACACATGAAAGAATTCAAACTAAAATTCCAGATTCTTAAATAGATAACACTATTTAAAATAATTAGTGCAGGGTATCAATGTTCACATCTTAACAAAAAATTTAACTAGAGTTAAATCACTAAAAAAAAAAAAAAATTTGAAGGGGGGTGTTGGCGCCCGAAGGCAAATGCGTTTTAGAAAGCAAAAAAAATAAAATTAGAAGAAATTAAACAATAGGACCACAAATGAAAGAGTTCAAACTAAAATGTCCAGAAACTTAACAGAAAAAACTATTCAAAATGATAAGATCATTAAACAAAGATGATTAAAGGGCCAATGCAGGTTATCAACGTTCAAGTCTAAACATAATATTTAACTAGAGTTAAATAACTAAAAAAAAAAATTAAAGGGGGTGTTGGCGCCCGAAGGCAAATGCGTTTTAGAAAACAAAAAAAAAATAGAAGAAATTAAACAATAGGACCACACATTAAAGAGTTCAAACTGAAATATCCAGATTCTTAAATAGATAACACTATTTAAATGATTAGTGCGGGGTATCAATGTTCACATCTTAACAAAAAATTTAACTAGAGTTAAATAACTAAAAAAAAAATTTGAAGGGGGGTGTTGGCGCCCGCAGGCAAATGCGTTTTAGAAAACAAAAAAAAAAAAAATTAGAAATTAAACAATAGGACCACACATTAAAGAGTCAGGTTATCAACGTTCAAGTCTAAACAAAATATTTAACTAGAGTTAAATAACTAAAAAAAAAAAATTAAAGGGGGGTGTTGGCGCCCGAAGGCAAATGCGTTTTAGAAAACAAAAAAAAAATAGAAGAAATTTAACAATAGGACCACACATTAAACAGTCAGGTTATCAACGTTCAAGTCTAAACAAAATATTTAACTGGAGTTAAATAACGAAAAAAAAAATTGAAGGGGGGTGTTGGCGCCCGAAGGCAAAATCCGTTTTAGAAAACAAAAAAAAATAAAATTAGAAGAAATTAACCAATAGGACCACACATTAAAGAGTTCAAACTAAAATGTCCAGAAACTTAACAGAAAAAACTATTCAAAATGATAAGATCATTAAAGAAAGATGATTCATAGGGCCACTGCAAGTTATCAACGTTCAAGTCTAAACAAAATATTTAACTCGAGTTAAATAACTAAAAAAAAAAAACTGAAGGGGGGTGTTGGCGCCCGAAGGCAAATGCGTTTTAGAAAACAAAAAAAAAAAAAAAGGATTTCGGAATGTTTAGCTTATATGAAAGGGAAATGCGAAAAGGAAATGTAATTTTAGGTTAGGTTAACGAAGTGTGTGTAGCAGATATGAGAATATTAAGTTAGGTGTTGAGGTACCAAGGAGGATAGAATAGGAAATTTATTAATTAAAGGTTGTGTAGTATTGTGGCATATATTGTAGTGAAAACAAGATAGAACAGGTTTAGGTGGCTCCGTGACTGTATGATAAAATATAGTGAGAGTGGCTATAGAAGTTAGAGTCTGAAGAAAAGACGGATAGACAGAATACCGATCATATGGAGGTGTGGGATGAGAGTGGTTGAACCTGAATAGTTGTGAGAGAAGGGGGAAGAAAAAGTGTGAAGGTAGAATAGTTATGTTAACAATGCCGAATACGTAGTAAAGGATCTTGAATTGGAAAGGTCACTTGACTCTTTGGCTGATACTACCGTTATCAGTTGATATAGGTTTACAACCTTGACTTATGGGATAGAATAAAAAAGATCGGTTGCCGGTTGGGATGTCAGCGCCATAGATATATACAACAACTAGATAGCCGTCTCCTTTTTGTCATCGAAGTCGACCCCCCATTTACAAAGCAGGCAATGTTTACAAAATAATATTATCATAGTATATATGTATATAAATAAATGTAAACATTGCCTGCTTTATAAATGGCGGCCGATTTCAACATTGGTCACAACTGTAATATAAAGACGGCTATCTACTATCTAGTTGTTGTATATATCTATTGCGATGACATCCTAACCGGGAATTCGGGGGAGGGGGGGACGAAAGGAACAGTTGCTCCAGGCGGCAGGGACGGCCAAATAATTAAGAGTGGCAAAAAAATGTCGTTTGTAATATAATAAAAATAAAATATTTAGTAAAATAAATATTAATTTTTTTTTACGAATTTGCGATGTCAATATTGTCAGAATATCTAAAATCGTAATGGAATCTTATATTAGAACTTATAGGTCTACTTATTTTAAGAGA